AGCATTTTTTGTTAGTATAATTTTTTGAATTAAAAATAATATATTTCATTCTATTTTGTAATTTCAAGCACTATTTTCTTTGGCTAATATCATCCAATTCTTTATCGAATCAGGGGAGCATATACGGGGGGTAATGGGGGTAGTTACCCCCAAGAATTTTTAAACCTAACATTTTATAGAAACTAAAACGTTTTATTATCAAAAATAAAGTCCTAAATATTACCACTAACCTTCCCAGACCTAAACTTTATTACTACTCCTCCCTAGACTCAAACTCTGGATGCGCCGCCACTGGCGATAGCAATAAGCAATAACTAAAGTGGCTTCTCTCAAATTATTTAATTTAAAACAGTTTGATAATCACATATTTTGGCGAGAGCAATATTTAAAATTTTGGTGGAAGCGCATATACTTTTGTGTTATATGTCTGCATTTCAAATTTTGGTGTAAGCGCATATAGAATTATTATAGTGTACAGTTCATCAAATTTCTAGAGGTGTTCGACGCCCAGACAGAGAACGCGCTACGTGTGACTAAGATAGCTATTGTACAGTCTGCTAAACAAGTTACTTTAAATAGTTGTTAATATTTTTAGGTAATTAAATTTTAAAAGTGTGGAATAGTTTAGGGATTAAATTGGTCTGATTGGACTTTCTTAGAACGTTTTTAAAAGCAGCTAAAGATAGTATGTAGAATTGAAAATAATTATTATGCCATAAAAGGTGTTTTGGAATTCCTTCAACCTTTTGAAATTGAGTCAGAAAATATAAATTTTATAGGATAGCGGAAAATACCTATAATTTTTTTGTAGGCCTTTGTAAATCGTGGAAATAGTTTATTTCTACCTTATTAAGGAAAATGGTACCTATTATTAATAACGGTTGTTTCTGAAACATTACTAAAATTTTCGAAATTTTGTTTTTCTACAAAATAATAAACTATACTATTTAGAAAAAAATTTATTTCTCTTATAATTTTATAAAAAATAACGGGAATATTTACATTTCTTGATCTATTAAACAAAACGATAAATTATCTCGACGAATGACACCATGTTCTAGTACGGAAGCTAGCTTTACATTTTTGTTGGTGGTTTCATGGGTTTCATATCAATTTTTTGTAATTGTAGTTTACACGTACATATACCTCTTAACACTTGTTTGCTTTATTAAAAAAGTGTTTTGTTGTGATTTACGTCGAAATAAGTCAGAAACAACTTGAAACCCCATATAAAATCAAAAAGGAGAAACGGAAAAAAATTGAGCCTGTAAATGAACACAACTCAGAAACAAAAATAGCTATCTAATAATAAAAAAATAAAATTTGATTCTTGTTCAGCTTCATCTATATCATTAACTGTTTTTGGTTTTTTAATGGTTTTTCTTGGTGATGAAAATTCCGATATCTCACGGTTATCGATTCTTTTTTTCTCTCCAGAAATGCGGACGACAGTGTTTTTAGATACTCCTGTGGCTGCAGCAACACGATCATTTACATTTTTAAATGGTATTGAAGGTGAATTAAAGTTTCCTTCTCTTCTCATAAACTCTATAACATTGGCTATTATTTCGCGAGATTGACTGTTAATCACGCGGCCTCTTGATTTGCTATTAAACTCCATACTTAGGTTCTATTAAACTGTAATGAGCAAAAAACACAAACGAAAATAAAAGAAATGTTTTAGCGAAATTTACATCTGACATTTACGTCTGAATGAAATAGTGAAATACTTGACGCAGAGTGTACTTTCATTGCGTAAATCCGTCGGGATGCCTGTCAGTAGTGCTTTCTCTGTCTAGCCGTCGAAAGCCTCTAGAAATTTGATGAACTGTAAGCCCGCTAAATTAATAACCAAGCCTTGTGAAGAAATGGTATATTTTCCTGGATTTTTGATATATTGAAGTTGTCGGAAACTAAGAGCATACTTTAATCCTATGACTAATTTTGAAAATTGGTGTTTCTTAAAATTAGCAAAGTAAATACTTTGATTGCGGATATTTTCTAGAACAGTGGTCGCCAACCTGTCGATCGCGAGCTACCGGTAGCTCGCGGAGGCAATTCCGGTAGCTCTCACAACGATTTTAATTTAAAAAATACAAACTGCAAAAATCAGAGAAGCTTCCGAAAATTCCACAAAAAAATGTAATTGTCATAATATTAAACATAAACAGCGGCAACGTTGCGGTGAGCGATCTGCCAGTGACGCCATCAAGCTAGAATCGGCTAGAACCGACCAGCCGGTCCAGCGCGTTAGTGTTCGAGAACGATCAGGATTGCTTTAAACGGGATAAATACGCACGGCGCGGCGACATTGCGCTTAGTTTAAAACTGAACGCGTAACCAACGTCCAGCGGTTGGGTTAGTAGAGAACAACAAAAAATAATGTTATGGCAAGCAGTTGTAAGAAGGTAAAGACATACCACTTTCATTCGGAATGGGAAGAACAATACTTTTTTACAGAAGTTAAAGATAAAAATGTGTGTTTGTTATGTAATACTTCGGTATCCGTTGCTAAAAAAGGAAATATTGAGAGACATCATAAAACTGTACATTCTAATTTTGAAAAATCATTCCCACTACATTCTGCCGCCAGAAAGGAGAAACTGAAACAGTTAAAAAAGCAGTTAATTGGACAACAATCAATATTTTTAAGAACAGTCGACAAAAATAAGGCTGCAACTGAAGCATCGTACCGTGTGTCCCAGATAATTGCACAAAAAAGAAACCTTATGAAGACGGGGAAATGATAAAACATGCGTTTTTAGAAGCTGCTGATTCGTTATTTGCCAACTTTAGAAATAAAGACGAGATAGTTTCAGCTATAAAATCTATGCAACTTTCTGCTAATACAGTGACGAGACGTGTAGAAGTAATGAGCAATGATATTTTTTTTACAGTTCAGAACTGACTTAGATAACTGTGTTTATTTTTCACTTCAACTGGATGAATCAACAGATGTCGTTGACACTGCCCAGATGGCTGTGTTCGTCAGGATGGTTTTTAGTGATTTTACGATTAATGAAGATCTTTTGAAGTTTATTCCACTGAAAGGACACACTACTGGACAGGAGTTGTTTCCTCATTTAAAAAATATTATTTCTTCCGAAAAAATTCCAATATCGAAAATGGTAGGCTTGACAACTGATGGCGCTCCAGCTATGGTGGGTTGTGATAAGGGTCTGGTGGCGTTATGTCGTAAAGATGAAACTTTTCCGCAATTTCTCTGTTACCACTGCATTATCCATCAGCAAGCATTATGTGGAAATTTCCTGAAACTCAACAACGTTATGAAACTGGTGGTAAAAATTGTGAACAAGATTAGAGCTCAAGCGTTACAAAGAAGATTATTCAAAACCTTAGCCGATGAAGTTGACTGTCAATACGGGGACCTACTCCTTCACTCTGAAGTCCGATGGTTAAGTAGAGGACGGGTGCTGAAACGTTTTAATGATGTCCTATCTGGCATAGTTCAATTTTTCAAACAACGCGATGAACCGACTCCGGAACTAGAAAATTCAATCTGGCTTAGAGATTTTGGTTTTCTCGTGGACATTACAGAGAAATTAAACGAACTTAATTTGCAGCTTCAGGGGAGAGACAAAGAACTAGTGGAAATGATTTCTGATATAAAAGCATTTATCAAAAAGCTGGAGTTTTGGGAACAAAACCTAATTAACAGCGATGCCAAGCATTTTCCTATTCTTTCAGAAAAAATATCTCAAAATCCATTAGAACCCTATGACAGCAAATATCATGTACAAATAGTTTCTACCCTGAAGAATAACTTCAAAAATCGTTTTAAGGATGTCAACGAAATGGCTTTAGTAGCGCAGTTTGTTGTTTCACCCTTTATGGAAATTGATATCCAACAGTTTGCAGCTTGTGTTATGCAGAACTTTGGCGAAGACATCGCTGCAACAGAAATGGAAATAATTGAGTTTCAAAATGATTTAGCCTTAAAATCGTTAGTCTCAAGTACCAAATGTATCTAGCCTATTGTAAGTAAAGACAAATATTCAGTTCTATGCCGTTTTGCCTTGAAAGTGAAAGCATTATTCAGTTCAACCTATTTGTGTGAATCTTCTTTTTCCAATATGAAGTTTATTAAGAACAAATATCGCAATCGACTTACAGATGAACATTTGGATAATTGTATTCGAATGGCTGTATCAAATTATACTGCAAACATTAAAAAAATTATCGATGAGTCTGAGTGTCAACCTTCTCATTGAACGTGCTTTTTTATTTTTCAATGTTTATGTTCATGATAGTGCGTTACTTTTTTGTTGTTATTATTAACTATTTTTAAATCTTACGTGACATGTCGTTGTGGCTGGATAAAAGTTTGTGTTTATTTTTCAAACACCTTCGTTTGGTAGGTAGGAATGTAGCTATGAACAAGTACATACTAGTCATATTAGTTAATTTGTTATTAGTTTATTATTAGTACCTATGTATTATGTATTACCAGTTAAATAGTAAAATAAATACATATAATGATAAATTAACTGTGGATTATTTCATTTACGTTGCGTTACGTGGCTTCCGTGTGGGTAGCTCGCTGTTTATTCCAAAATTAACAAAGTAGCTCTACACATTGAGAGGTTGGCGACCACTGTTCTAGAAATTATGTTTCACTGGTTTCACACAGAATATTTTCAGCATAACTTATGATATAAATTATTATTTGATACAGGGTGAGTCACAAATTATTGATAATTGAATGTTTATTTTAATTTTAGCATGATAACTGTCTTCAAATTAATAGTACGCTGAAATAGCCTCACTTTAAATATTTAAAATGAGTTTTATACAAGGCGAATTAAAAAGTAGGTAGATCTAGTTGTCTATTAATGTATTGATAATAAACCTGAAATAATTTTAAAAGTGTTTGAACCATTTAGTAATAATAATAGTAATTTTTATTTACTATAAAAATCCAATAATAATAATTTATTATGGTAAAAATTAGAAAAAATAATAAAATCATAAAAACTTACGCTATGGCATCGATCATATCCAATCCCATTTCTACAGTGCAGTGCGCGTGGTCAGGTCTAGCTTCTGGTAAACCTGATACGCAGTAGTAACAGTCGCCGAGAAGTTTTATTCTTAGACAGTGATGTTCGGCAGCCAGGCGATCGAATCTGTAATTAAAAATCGATACAATCAATTAAAAAAATCAAATTGCATTGGATTTTGTTGTGAAAATATAGTAGAAATTATATCTTAATGTCATTACTAAAAATAATTATAACCCTATCATGTAAAATAATGTTCTCTGGCTAATAGACAAGGTCTGAAGCCGACACACATATGGTAGAAACACAAAAATAAATAATAACCAGAAGGATATCTCCGATCACTTAATCTTCGAGGATTCGTGACCTTCAATCACACCTACACCGATATTCTACACCGAAAGTTTCAGTGCAGTAGCAACCGGCACGGGCAGTGGTACCGAAATCGTGAATTTATAATTATTATTATTCTGATGTTTCTGTTATTTTGCAACATCCAAAATCATAATCTGCAAGCTTTTCTGAGCTCAAACCTTTGTACAGAATACGTCCTCATATTTTTCATACTCAACTTTTTCCAGCTCCCGCTCTAAAAGGGAATACTATCAGAAGAAAATTTTTTTTTTAAATATTCCTTTCTTAAATATTCTCTGGTATACTCTATACATTATAGGATGTCCGCGGTATACAGTACCTATGATTTTATTTATAAAAAAATTTTCTCTCAGTGAAATTTCCGTATGATTTTTCCGAACGTGCGCCTGATTTCCTACCCAATTTCCATTATTTATACATGCATCACGTATGTGTACGGTACTTACCTAGCAAACAATTCGTTTAGTATTCGAACGAGTTCCTCTGCCGTGCACTGATCAGAAAGGGTTGTAAACCCACATATGTCGGCGAAGAGGATGCTGGAAAAAAGAATAAGAGAAGAATTTTAAACAAGTTTTATTAGCAGATTATCCATGCAGTGTGCCGGTATATAATGAATATGTTTCTCACTGGTCAATTTTTTTTAGTAACAATATGTTTATTTGATATATTGATAAATAAATTTAATACTAACACAAATATAGATACAATAAACCATATTAGAGCCACTACTGGCTGAGTATGGGCATTTATATTTTATTAAATAATGTATTTTATTCATTTTCATTAGTGTGTGGCACATTATACATACAGAATGACACACCGTAAACATTCGATCCTAAATATCTTCCAGTAAATAATATATATATATATTTAAAATCGAAAAAACTCTGGGAAAATCACAAAATAATTTTTACGTTAACCATCGCGTTTTGTCCCAAACACCGTGCGGAAAATTATCATTCTCGTTCAATAATTGCCAGAGCGTCGAACCGTCTAGTCTAATATACGGGGCCGTTCCGAAAACTTTGATTTCAATTATTTCCTTGCAATTGATTACCGTCATATTTAAATTGTTTTCGAGTGTATTAATTTGTTTTTAGTAAATTTTCCGTATATAGGGAGTTTCATAATTCCCGGACCGCTTTCTTCTGTGCTAGCGAACCGTAAGTATTTTCTCGTACTAGTAAAAGGTAATACGAACTTTTAATTTCCTTAGTACCTAACAGGGTAATGAAGTAAATTGGATTTAAATCCGGGGGCACTTGCACCCTTTATCAATTTTCCCGTTAATCAGGGGGTGATATAGCGGTATTCGCTTGCTTCCCCCCGTCGATAATCAGAGCTGTTTCAGCCCCTAGTCTTTATAACAGCTCGTGGAAAGGGTTTCTCTCTTGTAGAAGCTATGGACTACTAGATGTCTACATGAGAGAGACTTTAAACCGTTAATATTTAATTAGCTTTCATTGGTAATAATTTATTTTTAATAAATTTTCCGCATATAGGGAGCCGTTAATATTTAATTAGTTTTCATTGGTAATAATTTATTTTTAATAAGTTTTCCGCATATAAGGAGCCGCTCATATTTAATTACCGTTATATTATTTTTTTGTGAATATATATTTTATTACCTATTCCTGTGTTTCTTTTATTATTGGTTCTTAACCGTTCTCTTTCAGGGTACCGTAGGGTACGAGGTGTAAAGGAGATAAGTGTTTTATTTTTATTTATTCTAGTATAGTGGCTACCTAGCAGTGACCGCCTGGAATTTTTTACCTTCACTGAGTTCACCTTGAGTACACTCTGGTGTAGCAAACTGCGATACCAAAACTGGCGCCTGAGCAACCCCTATTTGGGAATCACCTTCATAGCGTTACACTCGCTGATTCACTGTAGGTGATCCAGAAGCCTGTCGCAATACTGATCCTAAAAGCTTATGTAACATTTTGTAAATGTATACCATAGTTATGGCAGTTGCAGAAGTATGAAAATATGATAATGCTGGGTGGGATTTTCCAGGTTTTCCTCACCTGTGAGTCAAATGGCACCATTAGTCACACCGAAGCGCCACGGCTAATAATAACCGTCCCTTCCTCGGACAAGCTCAGCTTTTGGGGTTAAAATTTATTCGTAAGTGGGTGAATTAGGGAGAGTATTATTATTATTATTATTATTATTATTAAATATATACATATGATGCTGTTTAAAATTTATGGGTAGTGGTTGTATGATAAATTCTTAGTTCCTTATTAAAAGAAATAAATATTTAGGCGATAATTTTTTTCAAGCCATATTAAATTTTTTTAAAAAATTGTTTGATACGAATTAGTTTTTGTCTTACCCGAATATCTTTATTCATTTATTTAAAAAATTCAACTACTCTTCATTCATTTTTATTAGCTATTAGATAAGAATTACTTTTGTAACATTAAAATATTTTATACGGGGGGTTAAAGGTACCCAACCCTCCAACTTTTTTTAAAGGGGTCGCTTTAAATTTTTTTCCTCCTTAGAATATTGGGCCTTTAAATCTACAGCACTGGCAAAAATTTCGATGAAAAAAATAGCAACAGCAAACTTTTTACAAAAAAAAGTTTTTCTGAATGTTTAACACCCTGTAACTTTGTTGGGAGCCAGTTTTTGATATGAATTTATAACTTATCTTTTTGAAATACCCTGTACAATGGGGCCAGAAATAGTTTCCTCAATTATTTAAATTATAAATAAAATTCTATGTTTACTGACTTTTCTTGTATTATAAATGACGCAATTTTTTATACAATTTGTATTAACATAAAAACAAACGTGAGGGTAACTCACTAACCTGTGGACGAAGATAATAAACAATTCGAAACTAAATTGATCAACATCATGCATATAAGATTGTTAAGATTTCATACGAAGTATTGACTACAATTCCTATGGGAAATATACATAACTCATATACATACAGATTTCGAAATATTTACATTCTCTACATTCATTTTTTCTCCACAGGGTCATCATCTAATCCTTAGTGGGCCGTGTATTCTACCCCCCATGTAACTTTGCCGTGTAAACAATATTTCATAAAAAAAAACTTTTTCTCGTTAATAAATCATTCATTTTATTTATTTCTACTGTATCTTTGGAGTGTAAGTTGTATGGACAACGGTTTGCTATGTGGTGGAAAATCTCCTTCGAGGACGAAACTTGCTTGCCCTTCGATTCGACTTTGTTTTTGTTATCCAAAAGTTTCGTGAGGGTTGTTTACTTATCACCATAGGCGTATCTGGAATTTCTATTCAGCCAAAACAAAAGTTATACGAGCATGAATATGAATTAAATAAACTTAAAAGCATGTGGGATGCAGAGTTAAATTTTTTCAGTGTACTGTTCTCGAAAACATTAGAAAGATCCTTGTAATCTTGGTATGCATCGATTCGATTCTGCCAGCGAGGTCTCTTGTGTGTCACTGAAAGTAGTCGAGAAAATTCCTAAAAGAGAAATCAGACGACCCAGATTAGGTCTAATAAATTTATAGACGTCGTGAATCCCGAATCGATGCCGCGAGTTATCCGAGAAGGAAGTAAATCTTGTCAATAATTAATTTTTAAAAGCGGAACAATGGATTTATCCCAGTAACGAGATTCCCTCATTTGGGGGTTAAAATGATTATGGAATTGCGAATTAGCTTATCGTATAATGTTGTCTTCGTTGCATATAAAATTAGGATTTATAAAACAGTTTGTTAAAGGTCTTAACAAAACTGGATTTTTTTTTCTATTTCTATCAAAAAAATTCCCGAAACTGAGTGTAGAAAAGATAAAAACGGGCATTTTGGATGGGCCACAGATAAGATCATTAATAAAAGACACAAAATTTACGGACACTATGGCAGAAATTGAGAAAAACGCATGGAATGAGTTTGTTTGGCTTGTTTAAAATTTAAAATAAGAAGAGTTCTAACTATTCTCAACACGTTGAACAACTAATAAGTCACTTTAAAACCCTTGGATGTAACATGAGCATCAAGTTGCACTTTCTTCACAACCACCTAGATTATTTTTCCGCTAATCTTGGGGATCCATCCATCATTTTATTTCTTGAATCTATATTTCTACATTTCGGAACCCATAAAACCACCGTTTCGTTACACCAATGAATATCCGTTATTTGTTAAAATGAGACTGGGATCATTAAGAGTTTCTTAATTGCGATGTAAGTTTTCCGAAAGTGGATTGTTTTTTAATGACTACATTCTCTATGAACTTAGAGCTTCTAACAAGCTATTTGGAAGATGTTCTATAGTTACTCATGAAATGAAAGTAAATGTAAACATGATTGTGGATTGGATGTGTTAAAATGTTCATATTTTTGAGTCTGCATTTAGTTATTAATTAGTAATCGTTAATCAAAATTTTAGTATTGGGGTCACAGCTGAGCTTTGAGGTACATTTTTACCGATTTAAAAATAAGATTATATCTTTCTTAATATACTGTAATATTTTTATATATTCTAGGAGAATATAATATCTACATACTTTTCCAAAACATGATGTATAAAATATTTTTTTTTTTTTTATATACGAACGTGACTGTAAGTGAAGTTTAGAAGCTTATAAATTAATTTAATAGTTAATTTCTCGTACAATTCCAAAGAACGGTTTAATTATTTAGCTACAAAACAATTTCCATGATTGGCAATATTGTCTGTAGGGACTTGAAAGAACAAAGCACTTCAGGCGGAGGTTTTCTTCACGAAAACAACGAAAATCCATTTTCAATCAAATATAAAACAGAATAAATTAAAATGTATTGATTGTAAAAGTAATTAAGTTTGAAAAGCTGATTTTTTTAGGTGTCAGCACTATTTATTTTCGACTTGTTACAGACGTTTGATTCAATATAAAATTTTCTTCAAATAAATCGCTTTATTTGGAAATAAGGGGTATAATTAATCAGTGATTTACATTTTACTCAGAAGAATTTAAGCGAAAATAGAAGTTTTCAAATCAGATATCTTAAGAATAGACTAGGGTATTCCCCATGGAAGAGTACCTAAACTTCTATTTTTATTATTTGTAAATTTATAACAAAAAGTTAACTGCTTTTTGAGAATTTCCGAACACACACACACACACACACACACACACACACACACACACACACACACACACACACACACACACACACACACACACACACACACACACACACACACACACACACACACACACACACACACACACACACACACACACACACACACACACACACACACACACACACACACACACACACACACACACACACACACACACACACACACACACACACACACACACACACACACACACACACACACACACACACACACACACACACACACACACACACACACACACACACACACACACACACACACACACACACACACACACACACACACACACACACACACACACACACACACACACACACACACACACACACACACACACACACACACACACACACACACACACACACACACACACACACACACACACACACACAC